GCCATCATTTGTACTTTTAGCTTCCCGCAAATGAGTACTGTGGGAGGCAGCAAATGAGTACCGTGGGAGTACTATGGGAGGCAGTACTGAACAACTTAAGTAAAGGGTCCTTGGCATCTACCTAGGAGACCTGAGTTGAATTTAGGCTCTTGGCTCTGGCATGGCACAGTCGCAACTGTTGCACGCACCTGGGGAGTAAACCAGTACACAAGAGATTTTTCTTGGTCTCTTTCAAACAAAATAAAATAAACTCAAAAAATAAAATTTCAACCTGACATTGTACTGATTATAATCAGCAAGTAGCAAATTATTCATGTTTTCCCCTAATCAGCTTAAGCTGACAGTAAAGACAAAGTTACAAGGACTATATCAGGTCTTATTAAAACTGCAGGGGAATTTTGCGTTATAATATTTACCATTTATAAAAACATAGTACCTCTTTTTAAAATAAATGAAGTTGTAAGAAGAATCCAATTGTACAAAATTTTTCATAAGATGTTTTAAACAAATTTTAAAAAACTGAATTTTGACTAAAACCAACTTTTCTTTTTTAAAGATTTTATTTGTCTTTAGTAGAACGTCAGGTTTACAAAGAAGGACAGACCAAGAGGAAGATCTTTTATCTGCTGGTGCATCTCCCAAGAGGCCGCAGCAGCCAGAGCTAAGCTGATCCAAAGCCAGCTCTCCCACGTGGGTTCAGGATCCTGAGGCTTTGGGCCATCCTTGACTGCTTTTCCAGGCCACAAGCAGGGAGCTGGATTGGAAGTGGAGCAGCTAGGACACAAACTGGCGCTTAAATGGGATTCTGCTTATGCAAGGCAAGGACTTCAGCCACTGGGCTATTGTGCTGGGCCCTTAAAACCAACTTTTTTTTTTTAAAGATTTATTTTTACTTTTATTGGAAAGGCTGATATACAGAGAGGAGAGACAGAGAGGAAGATCTTCCGTCCAATGATTCACTCCCCAAGTGAGCCCAACAGTCAGTGCTATGCCAATCTGAAGCCAGGAGCCTCTTCTGGGTCTCCCACGTGGGTGCAGGGTCCCAAAGCTTTGGGCTGTCCTCCACTGCTTTCCTGGGCCACAGCAGGGAGCTGGATGGGAAGCAGGGCCGCCAGGATTAGAACTGGCGCCCATATGGGATTCCGGGCATGCAAGGTGAGGACCTTGACCACTGCGCCACCATGCCAGGCCCTAAAACCAACTTTTAAACAGACTTCTTCAGTTATAAATTTTCTGCTACCACAAAGAGAAAAGGATACTGTAAGGGACATTCTAGGGTTTGTTGCCCAAATTTTACCCCAGTATTTATTAATTTTAAGCAAAAAGTCATAATACAATTAAATATTAAAAATTGAAAACTTTTACAAAATATATTAATCTTGGAAAAAATTGCAAGGATATTGCAACTAGATTTAAAAGCTAGGTGTAATAATCACTGGAAACAAAAAATCAACAGTGCCTTTTTTTTTTAAATGCCATAAGGTTAATTTACCACCACCCATTTTTCAGTTTCTTTTTCTTAACAGATCATAAGTAAAGCAAAACTAAGAAACAAATAAAGAAAAGCTGGGGGAAAACAATTTGAATTTTGTTAAACTAACTTTCCAAGTAAAAAATGGTAAACAGGTTTTAAAAAAAAACTTTTAAAATATAAGTTTAATTTATTTGAAAGGCACAATTGTCATACACATACCGTCACACATGCGCACGCCCCTTCTAACAATTAGTTGGCTCCCCAGATATGTGTGCCAGTTGGGGACTGACTCATGCTGAAATCGAAGCCTGGGGCTCAGTCTGCTGTGCGTGTAGCACGGAGCCAGCAGTACAGCCATGCTCTGTTCCTCCCAGGTTGCATCAGTAGGAAGGGGGACGGGGGACAGAAATGCAGACCTGAGCCAGCGCTTGCGTACGGGATGCTGTGCCAAGCCTTGGCCCTAACCGTCTTACAAAAAGAAAACAAACCTATTTTAATTTTTAACTATTTTGGGAGAATGCTTAATTAAAAATGTAGTGGTCCTTTGTTCATCACAGGCTATGTGGCTGCTCTCTATGCATTATGTGATTTCAAAAGTTTTTAAAAAGTTATTTGAGAGGCAGACAGCACATCTGTTTGTTCACTCTTCCCAAATGCCTGAAACAGTTGGAACTTCCTAGGAATGTTTGCAAAGTAAATTCACTTGGGTATTTATTCCATTTTCCAAACAAATGTGCACAAAGTATCTACACAAATCAATCTCATTTGCTTCAATAAGTCCATCTTATCAACTGTACCCAACCTTTAGGGGGAAAAAAATGTAATGTAGTAATACTATCTATAAGAGTGACACAGCTACATTTGAAATGTGTCATTAAATTTTAAGTTTTCTATCTTATTTTGCTATTAGTCTTACTCTCCATTATGAAACCCAAAAAGATTCTTTGGTATATGATTCTTATGCCTAACATAGTTTTGGTTTTCATTTAGCAAAGAAGCTTAAAGAAGGAAAATCTGCCATTACTTAATAAAATGCATATAATAAATTGTAGATAGGCAATTCTGTTACACAAGGGCAGTAATCGCCAGCTTAGACACAGGAAATTCATTCTGTATTATTTTAATAAACCTCATGTAGTCCATTAAAGAAAAGCAAAAAGTCTGGTTAAAATGCTACCCAGCACAATAGCCTAGGTACTAAAGTCCTTGCCTTGCACGCATAGAGATCCTATATTGGTGCAGTTTTTAATGCGGTGGGGAGGTGAGGGGGCTTCCCATCCAGCTCCCTGCTTGTGGCCTGGGAAAGCAGTTGAGGACAGCCCAAAGCCTTGCGACCCTGCACCCACGTAGGAGACCTGAAGACACTCTATGCTCTCGGCTTCTAATTGGCTCAGTTCTGGCTGTTTTGTTCCTTTGGGGAGTGAACCAGCAGATGGAAGATCTTCCTCTCTCTCCTCCTCCCTGTATATCTGACTTTCCAACAAAATAAATAAATCTTAAAAAAAAAAAAGATTTAGAACTTATGTTTGCTTTTAAATCTTTTTCTAAAAGTAACACAAGATATAAAAGCTAATTCCCTCTGATTTAACTACATATAAATCTAACTTGTTTTTTTTCTTTTTTTTTTTTTACAAAGAAACATAGTTCACATACATTAGCTTTTAGTTTCTGTGATTTTGAGATAAAATACATAATTTTCTCAAGGGCATGATGTGATAATTTTCACTGCTACTTCTTCAATCTGTAGGTGCTACATAAGTATAATGCACTTTGTAAGAGTATCATCCATACATACCTGTAAAACTCTTACATGTCAGCTTACATGTATTGAAGTTTGCTATAAATGCATGGCCACTAGGATTTTTAAAAATAACTTTGCTATGAAACGGGGTACTCTTTTTTTTATACAATATAATATGATTAACATCAAGAATGAAATTCTTCAAGCAAAAGTACATTGAGTGAAAGATTATGCATCCTGTTATGTTTTTCTTTAAAAGGAAGGCTATTTTAGGGGGAGGAGTGACAACTATAAAATTCTATACTTGAGCAATTCATTGTCCAAATGTCAGTTGCCACTTCCTACAAAAGAGAAAAACGTATCCCAAGTAACAATGTTCTTCTAAAGCAGCTGAAAATTATTTAAGGACAAAAACAAAATATGAGTTGGTTAATTCATGGTGATTAACAAAGGAAAGTTGTGGAGGCAGAACCTAGGTCCACATCCCTGGCTGTGGGCAAATTTCTCAACCTCTCTGATTTAAGTTTCAATTTCTGGCACTTAGGGAAGGCTCTAAAAAGTATCCAGTATCACTGTTTTGCAGACCAACTCACCAGGGGGCTCATTAATGACCTTGCAAAAGCAGCTGTGGTCTTTGTTTTATTAGCTACTTTTCCCTTGTTTAGAAGGTAATACCTGTCTCTTTCTGCTTCTTGCCTTCAGTGTAAATGACTCTCAATAACTAAAGAAGAAAGAAGGGGTAGGATAGCAAGAATTTGGACTCGGGCAAAGCAGGTAGTAAGCATTATCTCTTAAGAGGGCCACCATCCTGGTTTCCAGTTCCCTGACCTGCAACTACCAGCAAAAGAAAAACCCAGCACCCAGGAGAGTAGCTCGCAGGCTAGATTCTTACTAGTTACCTGCTGCATCAATAACCAAACTGTGTGTTTCAGATGAAACAGCAACTTATTAGGAAATACGCAGTATTTAACACATTTTTTAAAAAAGATTTAAACTTCTACCTTCACTTATTTCATAAACCTTGAGGCAGGAACTAGGATCCTTCAGTTAATGAAAAGAATAAGCTTCAGCATTGTTACACAGTTTCTAAGCAGGTGAGAATCGAACTTGTTTTTCTCTGACTCCAAAGTCCAACCTGTGCTACACTAAAGATACTGTCACTACCCGTCCCTGCAAACCGTTCTATTAACAGAGAGCATTTACTGTAGCTTAAGCTTTTCTTCTTTCTGTGCTGCCAACTCTTGCATTTCATATTATCTCCATCGCTGGGCCATAAATTCGGTTCAAGAATGATACATTAATTCCTGCAGTCAGAACATAGGCCCGGGGAGTCAGAACTCGGTTCCTCCGTAAGCCGGAGGTCTGGCGCCACCATCACAAGCCACAGGCTCAGGCTGGGGTCCAGAGGCTGCAGATCGCACTCAGGTCTCAAGTTTTAGTCAAGGCCCGTGCTCAGATCGGGGAAGAGCAGACGGCTGTCCTTCCCACACTCCTCGCCTCAGCGGAGGCACCGAGAAAGTTGCAGTCGCGGTTAACAGTGCCAACAAAGCATCCGAAACCCCTTTTAAAAACCCGTTAAACGCACTTACGTGAACGAGGTAATTCCGGGACGCTAGGCCCGCACTGGCAACGGAAAGGGCTCCTCTGTCCTCCAGCCGTAGGGGCTGCTGGTGACGACATCAAGGCCGCGCCGTGGGCGGACCAGGCCCTGCGCGAGGCCACGAGCTCGGCGCTGGGCGCGCGCTCGCGGAGGGGGCGGGGCGGCCCGGCGGCGCCTCGTTTAAGCGTCACGGGCGGGCTGTGGTGTGTCTGAGGGCGGCTGGAACATGTCGCGCTTGAAGGGAGCGGCCGGGCGGGATCCCCGGGCGGGTTTCAGAACTGAGACAAGAGACTCCAATGCTTCCATACCCCAGGGGCTATTAAAGGCGGCGAGGAAGAGTGGCCAGTTAAACCTCTCGGGTAGGAACCTCAGTGAAGGTAAGACCTAGGGATGCCGCCAGCCTGTGCCTGCTGTCTGGAATCAAGGGTTCCAGGCACTTGGCTTTTGCTCTCGCGCCTCAGGCTCCTACCCAGGTCCTCTTCCTGTAATCTGGCGGTGATTCTATGGTGGCTTACTCCGCATCCTGTGGTCAAAACACTGTTGCTGGGTCTATGGTCAAAATGTAATATGGCGTTGTTCAGGCAGTATCTTACTCCAATGGTATAAGTTAATGTGTGATTGAATTCCCTGTTAGATGATGGATGAAGACATTGTTTTTCAGGCCCTCGTTTTCCTCTTAATTTGGGCTCTAAAGCCAGAGCACTAGAATTCTGTAACATTTCATTTGTTCCTTTGTGAATTTAGAGTGAATACCTCTGTGTCCTACCAAGAACCCTATTTAGGAGTGAAGGAACAGGTGTTTCGAATTGAGGATCAGGACGTATCTCTCAGCGTTTGAATTTAGGGCTATCCTCAGAAGGCTGGTGAAGACTAACAAGCAGGAATCTGGGTTCAGTTAATGAGTATCCAAGTGTTTTCCTAATTATCTTTGTGTATGAGGGACAGAAGGAAATCCAGCATTTTTCATGTAATGTTTTACTCTATATATTCGAAGGCTAATGAAAGCCTTCTGTTTTCCTTCCAACGCTTATTTTCTTATTTTGTCATAGACTGGGTAAATAAATGTGATGAAACAATGTATGACATAAAATCTTTATCTGAAAGACTATTTAATCAGTGGAAACCTAAACAGTTCCAAACATTAGATGCTTCTGTATGCGTACTTGATTTGCCTAAAGCCTGCAAACCCCACTCTGGCTTGTCTTAATTGTTCTGAGATCCCAATTAAGAGAACCCCTTCCCAACCACCCTAAGTACTATTGCTAACACTCTGCTCTGTTTAGTTTAGAATAGCATTTATCACTATCAGAACTTACACCATTTTTTTTTGTTTGTCATCTTTGTTATCCTACAACTAGAACATTAATTTATTTAAAATTTACTAATTTGAACAGAGCTTATGTGCTCTGTATTTTTTATCTTCTTTCCCTAAGCAATGATACTTTGCAGTTGCATCTGTTTTGTTGTGAAAGACAGGACTTCATTCCCTTTGGTAGTATTCCGTAATGTGTATGTACTATATTTTCTCTAACCAACCATCACCTGATGGACATCTGGGTTGATTCCATATCTTAGCTAATGTTAATTGAGTCCATATTGTCTTCCCTAATGGTTGTACTAATCTGCATTCCCACCAGTAACGTAGGGAATGCAGAGGGCTTCCCTGGGTCAGGCGAAAGCACCTCCTCACACACCAAGAGCCAGGGCTAGGGATGCCTTGAGCTAGGTTGGGTCTAATTGCTCGCGATAGCTGTGTTTGGGGATAGGTCTTATAAAGGTTCTCGGGGTTCCCCAACTAGGACACAACAACCATTTCACCCAGGGAGGCCCTCTGGATTCCCTTCTGATCCATCCCATCTCAACTCCCTCAAATTACCTGCAGGTGTAGTGGCCTGGACCATGAAGGCCCCAGGAATCATGCCAAACAAGCCCTTGCTGGCCCCCATTCTGCTCTGTTTCAAAAGCCCTAACCGCTAGTAGCATGCTTCCCTTCAACTTATTTGTGGTGACAGTGTCTTTGGGGTGGCCCATGGTGGTGTTCGCCCACTGTGGTAATACAGGTGCTCTACCCTTCTCCTCAAGATCATTTAAAAAAAAAAAAAAAAGGCAACTATGCTGGCAACTGGATTGAATGTGGAATAGCCATGACATGAACTAATGCCCATATGGGATGCAAGAACTACTGCAGGCAGAGGATTAGAGTGCTACGCTATTACACTGGCCCTTGTAATTCCTGAGGATTCTTTTTATTTCTTTGGTATCCATTTTCGTTTTCATCACTGAGTTTGTTGTTTTGGGTCTTTTTTGTTCTTGTTGTTCGTTGGGCCAACACTTGCAAGGTGAGAACTTTAGCCAAAAGGCCACCACACTGGGCCCGAATGTGGGAATTCTTGCGTGGCTGGGTGAATTTAGTGCATTCTGCAACAGTGAGAGCATTGCAACCTGTGACTGTAAGAATTCTACAATTGCATGGTAGGACATTGTGTGTAGTTGGGTCTCTGGACAATTGCAGTGCCTGACATCAGAGGTGAAGAGATCTCTGATTACCTGTGGCAAACCACAGCAGGGTTCTCGCTCACTCTGAGAACTCCAAGTAGGCATAATCAGAAAAGATCCTCACAACACATTGTACTGACACTCCACGCAGTAAAAATAAAGATGATAAAGTGTGCTGTCGGGCCTGGCATGGTGGCCTAGTGGCTGAAGTCCTTGCCTTGCATCCACCAGGATCCCATACAGGCACTGGTTTATGCCTCAGCTGCTCCACTTCCCATTTACCTCCCTGCCTGTGGCTTGGGAAAGCAGTACAGGATGGTCCAAAGCCTTGGGACTCTGCACCTGTGTGGGAGACTAGGAAGAAGCTCCTGGCTTCTGGCTTCAGATCAGCTCAGCTTTGGTTGTTGTAACCACTTGAGATATTTCTCTTTATTTGCTGCTTTGTGCTAATATGCCTTTTCAATAAAGAAATCGTAATAAAAAAAAAAAAACTATTATCCTCTCCGTCCCAGGCATGGGAGTTGCTGGTCGTGTTTCCATTTGCTACTGCATGGTTGCACTGTCTATGCTACTTCATGGTGGTCCTCTGCTATCTGTAGAATTTCCAATTAAGTTTCTCTCCAAGTATCCCCTGGGAATGCACATCCTCTGTTTTTCTTTCCCTAGCTTCTGCTGGTCAAAATTACCACACTTTCCCCCCATTCAGCCATCATATACTCCTCCTAGAATGTTAATTTGAAAAGGTCAGAAAGCTTTCTTAACATCTCTAACCTTCAAAATAGTGTTTGGTTCTTAGTAGATTTTCATTAAATATTGTGATAGCTGTGAGTAGGTAAATGAATATTCTGGTGTCTAGGGATGTGCTAGAAGTTAGCTTGTTGGGTGTATCCCAGTGGTTTAATCTGTTAAACTTCCTGGAAATACGGGTTTTTGCCTTTCAGGTATAAATGTTATGGGTCATAACTGTTTAAGTTTTTATGGTATGAACAACATTAACACAGTACCCGGCATGTAAATCGAAATTAAGTGCCTGAGTCTATAATATTTCAAAGGAGGGCAAGACACTCATGGAGGAAATTTGTGATATTTCTCATTTACTTACCTAAAAGGATCTGTTACCATTATCATACACGTCTTTCTCTGACTATAGTCAGTTTCATCCCTTTCCGATCCATTTTTTAAAAAAGATTTATTTTTATTGGAAAGTCAGATTTACAGAGAGAAGGAGAGACATAGAGAAAGGTCTTCCATTTGTTGGTTCATTTGTCAGGTGGCCACAACGGCTGGAGCTGGGCTGATCTGAAGACCCAGGAGCTTCTTCATATTTTCCCACATGGGTGCAGGGTCCTATGGCCCTGGGCCAACCTCTACTGCTTTTCCCAGACCACAAGCAGGAAACTGTAAAGTGGCGCAGCCAGGCCAGAACCGGCACCCATATGGGATCCCACTACATGCAAGGCGAGGACTTTAGCCATTGGGCTACTTGTCTCCTTTTTGGATAATCCAGTCGCTGTGTTTTTAAATTATTTATAATCCATTTTAGGGCCATGCTCCATTTCTCAACATCTTTGCTCTTTTAACATTGTGTTCTTAATTGTTCTTTAATTTTTCATTTAAGTGGGGAAGTAATAATACCTACTAAGGTGTCTATGAGGTAATATAGGTAAGATTTCTGGTATGTATAAAAGTCCACTGTGGGGTTAGCACAGTGAGGCTAACACTGTCATCTGGTACTGCAGTGCAGCTGTTCCGTATTATCCAACTTTCTGCTAGTGTACCTGAGAAGGTATCAGATGGCCCAGCAATTTGGGCCTTTGAAACCCACATGGGAGACCCAGATTGAGTTCCAGGGCCTGGCTTTTGCTTGATCTACTCCCAGCCATACAGAGTGTGACCGGCAAATCTGTCTACCTCTGTGTTGCTGAATGTGTGTTTCTGTGTCTTCATACCTTTGTTTCTGTGCCTTACAAATGAAAAAAAATTGTTTTTCAAAAAGGCATACACATTATGATCACTGTTTGGGAAAGAACAAATATATAAATGTGTGGTGGTCTCCCAGGTGTGTGTGGGGGGGTCTCACTTTCTTTCCTTTTCTATAATTGGCCATGATAGGTTTGAGGGGGCAGACATGCAGTGAACAGCTCTCTCTCTTGTCAAGAACCCTGCTTTGCCTCTCGGAGGAGGAGCAGATCATACAGAGAGTGGGAAACACCGTCCCCTGTTGGGGGATAAGTGCTGTCAGCCTCCCTCAGGCCAAGGGCGTCTCCCCATCATGTCTACAAATCTGAGAAAGAAGACACAGTAAAAATTCACCATTGTTTGACAAAAGTTTCCTAACTGGATTTCTTGTTTTAAACCTCACTCTCAGAAACTTAGTATCAATACAAAGAGTTACTATTTCAAAACATAAATTTTATTATATTTCTCAAAACATTAGTTACCCGGGTGGGTCTCAGGACGGGGCGTCTCATGCCTGGATCCCGGACGGCCACCATGTGCACATGGTGAGCTGTTTTCCCCAGGCCTGCTGAGTTTTGGGGGCCACTTCCTTCAGGGTGAGTAGACCGACGGGGGGAGGCCTCCGGGACTGGGCAGGTCCGGGACCCACCCGCCACCTTCATGGGGCAGTGAATGGGATCTGGGAGGGGCGCGACCTTGGGCCTGGGTTATTTAAACCTCCAGCAGCCTCCCAGCAGCTGGTGGGTCTCAGGACGGGGCGTCTCATGCCTGGATCCCGGACGGCCGCCATGGGCACATGGTGAGCTGTTTTCCCCGGGCGGCCAGTGCGCCGTTTGATGCTAGGCTCCGCCTGCTGGGCACCCGGCCGGGAAGATCTGGGGATTTGGTTCTTTAAGTCGCTGCTTAATTAGCTCCAGGTTGA